AATGACTAGAATTCAATATTCAGTTTCACTTTTATTTTGATGAACAGTGCTGTATATACGTAAGGAATAGAACTCGTCTACTTCAGTATATAATATATCTTCTTCTCTTCTTTATATATATAGCTATAATTGACAGCTATGACATCCAAGTTGCAGACGTTTAAGGGCACGCTGTCAATCTTAAAGCTGTTTGGCATTTTCTTTGTAAGCAGCTTAATGGAAAAACTGCCAAAAAATTGTGAAAATGTGGCAAGTTTGTCAAAGACTACGTGAATTAACGGCAAAGGCGGAGAAGAGAGAAGGAGAAAATAGCATCAATAGAATGGTGTTATAGTTGTTTCCATTGATTGACACGCAATGCGAACACGTTGCCCAAATGTGGCCAAATTGTGTAGGACAGTGTACCCAATGGGCGACAGACAGAAGGACAGACAGGCGGACGGACAGACAGACAGACCGACCGACAGTTGCCACACTGTCTGCCAGTGACATGCTAATTGGAGCACGTAGCGGACAGTGGGGACAACCCAGAGCCCCAACGCAAGGTACGTAAAATGAAGAAATGCACTTAATTGGACCGAACGAAGTGCGTTAGTTTCTGCTGGCTGACAGTCGTGAATGCCATACGATTAATTAGTGAAGAGCAGACAGAGACAGGGAGAGTCAGTTAGATAGAGAAAGAGCATGGCAAATCTAAACTATGCGCGATTTGTTTGCCATTAGGAATGCATAGATGCACGCTCCAATCATATGCTATTACAAATGCAATTAAATTCTAAACTACATTTCACATTCAATTCAGATTCGATTTGGATTAGACAAAAACTTCCAAAAAAAAAAAAAAAAGGAAATGAAAATTCGTATTTGACTATTTTGGCATAAAGTTAAATGAAAGTTGATCAGCTACAACTGTTTCATGGAATTACGGAATGTATGTAAAGTACGGAATGTATGCACTGAAATTATGAAAGCTGCCCTAATATGACTTCAAATCTAGTTTAAACACAAAAATTTATATTTTTCGTATGTGAATTTCTAGTGAAATAGATTATTTATTTTTTATAATTAGAAAATCATTCATAACTTAATTCTATAAACAGCTTGTAATGAATGGAAGATGATTACGAATTTGATATTAATTCCGAAAATAGTTTAATATTACTCTTATAAATTAATATAACTTAAGCATCCACTGTCTTATCAATTAATTTTGTTTCTTATCAATATACCTATTATTATCTATATAATTATTGCAATCATCATCTGTGTCACATTTTGATTATTATTATCGTTAAGAATGTCTTCTATTCATTATTAATTTCTTATAATTTTTATTCATTTATCATCAGTTTTTCAATCTTCCATTTAATTCAAATTTAATTCTTAATAATTTCACATTAACTTCAGCTTTTGGTTCAATTAACTTCCGTCCAACAGATTTACTTTGAATTCTTCCAAGAAGTTTGCCATTTGTAGCTCATCAAAAATTAACTAGAGCATCCTCTTATTTATTTCTTTTCCCTCTCTGCTTCTTGTCTACTCCTTTAAGCCAGCTGGCGTGTTTCTAGGAAGTTTTACGTAACGTAAGGGCGCTTAGCCCCAACATCTAACGTTTGACACATTAAGCGGCCGCCTTTTGGCAGAGTCACAGCAAATTAACATTTTCTGTTGTCATTCTCTGACTGTCTAAGCCGCTTACGTGATATGCATAAGTTGGGCCAGCCAGTGGTAGCCCCAGTCAGCGTCAGCAGCGCCCGCAGCTCCACAGACTATCCTCCACGCTCTCTCTCTCTCTCTCTCTCTCTCTCGACTATCCGCGCTCATTTGGCTGGCTCCACCTAATTAGCGTCGGAATTGGCAAAGTTCTTAAGCTGCAGTTAAAAGGCATAAAACTCATGCGCGCCGTTTGGCGATATGTTAAATTCATAATTTCAATTTGAAATTGTTATTATAGCCAGTTTTGTCTTAGTTGGTCTAGCTGAGTTACCTCCCTATCTCTCCCCCCCCCCCTGCCCCTTGCACACGCCTCATTATTATTGACAGTTGCCGCCGTCAGAGATTTTTCGTTGTTGTTGTTGTTGTTGTGGCTGCTGCTGTTGTTGCTGCTGCTGCTGCTGTTATGGCTCTCATTTTAGTCTCATAAATATGCAAATTAATCATTTGCGGAAATTTGCATACTTAATAAGTTGCTTTAATTAAATGTTCACGCACGCATGCCACACAATCTTTCCCCTAGGAATCCTTTAGCCCGCGAATCCTTTTTCGGCCCAAATGCCATTTTAAAGCGCCAACTTGTTAATTGCGCGAAATCCCCAACTCTGAACCCACTCGAAAAAAGAGAAGCTCGGAAAATAATAAATGAAAAACAAATGTAAAAATATGTTAATAAATAAATAAAGAGAAATACGAAGCAAAAAGAAAACTCTATTTCAATGGAAAATATCTACTCAAATTTGTAGCCAGCGCCGGATTGGCCAACTGTTTGCCTCGTAATATTTAGGGACACAGTCACGTACCAAATAGCCGCAGAGCCCCAAAAACAAAACAGAGAACGAAAGAAACAAAATAAAAATCAACAATATGAATAAAGACAAGTAATTCAGCAACGATTGAGAGCAACGCTGTGAGAGATACCCAGCATCAGTGTGACTCTTGGTCAATCGAGGAGAAAATTAATGATAAGACTTTGGCATCAATCAAGGAGAGACTGAATACAGAGAAAATATCACTATCTAACAAAAGTTTTTATTACAGCTATAACTCCACAAGAGATCAGCTAAAAAGTGTAGACGAAGAAGGTGTAGAAAATATATGTAGCATACTTAATGGGATATGGAATAAGCCAGATAAGTTAGTAATACCAGCTAGTAATACCTAGTAATGGATCAAATGAAATGGTAGTTTTTCCATTGGAAATTGAAAGGAAGCTCATTTTAAAATACAATTTAAACGCTTTCTGCGCCCGTTCATCAGTATGCTCCACGTCACAATTTATAGGGTATACAAACAGTTCTTATCTGCATAATGCTAGCAACTTTTATTATTTTTGGTTCTCTGCTTCTTATTTTGTATGTGTACAACATCTTTTTTTTTCAAAATGAACAGCATCTGAAAAAGCCAAAATAAGAATCTACAAAGAAGTATATATCTTTTATATATATACACATATACATTCTTATATATATATATGCAAACGGCGAGGCGCAGCCGACATAAATTAACATTTTTATGCGCCGCTGCAATGAACGAAAAGGACGCCACGCAGCAACAGCAGCAGCAGCAGCGCCAGGAGACGAGCAGCAGACGGACGAGCAGGAGATGGAGGAGCAACAGAATCACAGTCAAAGCATAAGCTTCAAAATGGGCGCTTCTCTTCTCTAAGGTCCCGCATTATTTACGATGGGGGCTGACACTGCCAAAACAGGGCGTGAAGATGAGTGGGGTATGTGTATGTGTGGCCGTTGTTGTATGTGTGTGTATCGCTGCGTAACCATTCACATTTCTTCATTACATTTCATTTTATTTCAGTTCACAACATTGCGAGAGCCACGTTTATTTATTTGCCATTCGGCAGCGCCTTTGCCCTTTGCCTGGCTGGCAAATAATTTTAATTGGTTTTGCCCCGCCCCCTCCCTTCCCTCCGTTCCTGTCCTCGCGCCCGCACACGCTTCGATTCGAAGGAAATGATGGTGAAGTGATTTCAACTGCAATGCGCGACTTTATATGTATGTGTGCACGTGTGTGTGTGTGTGTGTATGTACTCATCTATGTAGATATTTATTTGCACATCTCTTGTCATGTTTGTAGATCTTATTATAAAAGTTGTAGTTCTTCAGTTCAACAGTTGTGCGGGTATGTGTGTATGTGTGTGTGTGCGCGCTCTTGGCAACCGCAATTGGAAAATCAATTTGCTTCATAATTTCCATAAATGCGTGAGTGCCTGAGTGTGCGTGCGTGTAGCTGTGTGTGTGTGAGTGTGTGTGTGTGTTAGTGTGTGTGTGTGTGTGTGTGTGTGTGTGTGTGTGTGTGTGTGTGTATGTGAATATTTACATATTGCATGGCTTTTGACTAGTTCATTTGCACACTGATAATAAACTTGAGCGCAAAAACATTTATATATAGAAGTATTATCAACATTCATATATACGTATGTATATATGTGCTTGCATACATATACTTTTATACATACACATATGTAAGTTTGTAACTCACATAGTTGACATTTAAATGCTGCAAAAACAATGTTATTTTTCCATCTCAGCAAATTGCAAGTTGGCTGGAAAATTTAATATTGCTGCATTGGCTACATTGCATTTGCGCAATTTGGCAAAAATATCTTTTGTGAAATATGTTTAAAATATAGAGTGTTTCTACGAGTAGAATAGAGTGCTTCAACGAATGATATATCATCGCTAAATAGATATTTTGAAGAGTATTAGCTTAGATTCGCCATTAAAAAGCTGATGACAGATATAAGGAGGCTCTCCTCTTAAAAAGTCTATCATATAGCAATAAAAGCTCACAAACAAAATTTGCATATGAAAAGCAGTTTTCTCTGTCAGCAGCAGCTCGAACTTTTTAGTTGTTTTTTTTTTTTTTTCATACGTAAAAGTTTAAAAACTTTGTTGAATTGCTATATCATTTACTTATATCATATGAACTCATAATATCCCACTGCTGCAGGGTATATGAGCAGCAAAATCTTAAATTTTAATAATAAAATGAAGCAAACAAAAAAACATTTTAAGCATTATCTGCTTATATCAATATAATATTGAGAAAAAATAATAATAATAATAATACATAAACCATCGCTCATCATTTAAACTTAAATTTATTACAGGGTATTGCTGCTTCGACACATAGAACTATTCAACAACTCTTTCATTCAATACAAATGCTTGCAAAATTAATCGCCTTACAAGTTCTTTAATAATATTTAACAGTTACATAGCTCAAAGTAAACGTGAAAGAGTGAGAGAGACATAAAATTCGCTTACTTGCATGCAGCTCACTTCCAATAGATTTTCCAATTGCTTTGCCGCTTATGCTTTGCCAACTGATCCTTTGTTTTCGTTTTGTTTTTGTTTTTTTGGTTTTTGTTGTTTTTATTTTCCTATTTGCGCTTATGCTGTACTTATCAGCAACGCTCCGTTTCACTTTCAGCTTAGTGCTGCTTCTGTTGTTGTTGTTGTTGTTGTTGGTTAACACGCCATTGTTTAGTATGCGGCGTCCATCATTTAGAATTCAGCGACACATATACAATAACAAGACACAGACACAGACACACACAAAGCTTTTGTTCTTGTTGTTGTTGTTGTTGCTGCTGCTGTTGCTGCTTGGCACATTTTGCAGAAAGAGAGAGCGCGAGAATTCATTAGGCATGTGGGAATTTTAATTTCACTTGCTCACACACGCGCACATATGTGGCGACATATTTCTCAAACATTTTCGCTGCGTGTGACGACGGCGACGGCGACGGCGACGGCGAAGGCGAAGTCGAATCGGCGACGTCAGTTATTTATGCTGCGACGGCTGCTGCTGCGGCCGATTATTGCTGCTGTGGCTGCTGCTGCTCCTTGTTCTGCTGGCGTTGGCGTTAGCTTTGTATTAGTGTTGTTGTTTTTGCCTAGACGCTTTGCTATTTGCATGCTGCTGCTGCTGCTCCTGCTGGCTGACCTTGGTGCAAAGTGCTAAAAAACTATGCCACACACTCACTAACACACACTCACACAACAATAGTGCGAGCCAACGACCGCAACAACAACAACACGACGCGACGTTGACAGCTGTCAAAACTGTTCGAAGCGCGTTCGCCTCACTCACTCACAGACGCACAATGCAAACCGCGACAACCTGCGGCGGCCGGTGCGGCGAAATTTTCACCAGAAGCAGAATAAAGTAAGCTGCGATGATTTCCATGCTGTGCAAAGAGAGGAAGTGAGTGAGAGAGGGTGGCTGGCTAACAGTAACAAAAGAAGAGGGGGGGGGGGGGCGTTCGCCGTACACGTTTAATGTTCAAGTCAAGTGCGAAGCTTATGCGCCTCGCAATGTGCGCGTGAGTGCGTCTGTTTCTGTGTGCGTGTGTCAGAGTGTGTGTTAGTATGCCGTCTATGTATTGGTATGTTTTTTCTTTTTTTTTTTTTTTTGCTTGGAACGTTTGCTACGGTCTTTCTTTTGTTCTACGCGCACGCGGGCGCTGCCAGCCTGATGACAAATTTTTCGCACACGTTCGCCYTGTTGTTGTTGCAAGACAAACACAAAACTTCCAGTTGTTTTTTTTTTCTTATTGTTTTTTTTTAACTGTCGCTGCTGAGGATTTGCTTTCCCTTTCTGGCCGCCTGCACTCTGTAGCGTTTTTATTGCTATTTCCTTTTATTTTCTTTTTTCGAGATTGGATGCTGCTATTACTATTGCTACTGTCCTTTGTCTTGGCTACGCTTTGTTGTCTGGCTGTCTATACATTATCTTTTTTTTTAATAATTGGCAACGCTGTCGCTGCTGCTGCTGTTGCTACGGCTGCTGTTTCTTTTCAGCGCATTGTTTGCATAATTTGGCGAGAGGCTAGCGCCTGCAAGTGCCGTTAATCCTTTCACTTTTCCGCTTTCGCTTTTACTTTCCGTCAGTCGCATGCACTTGGCTAACGAGCTGATGATGATGATATTGCCGACATACCGACAGAGCGAGGGGGGAGGTGTGGACATGTGCGAACATGATACCCATTAGCACGTGGCAATCATCATCAGCATTTAGCATCGATTTGACAGCGTGAACCAAACGGAATGACGGCACAACGGAACAAAGATGGCCCGCCCGCTGACCAATTCGAATTTTCGTCTGCCTAATTGCGTTTGCTTTTTGGCCCACAAACAGCTGGCTCGCTTTACAGCAATTCAAGCTTTACCGTAATTTTTCCGCACCAATACGAATGCAAATTGGCCGAAATCACATTAAAATCCTGCCACGCATTGAACGACGTTCGGCTAAAATGCGGCACTTTTATTTACAGTTATTCGCGTTTTTTACTTGCTTTTTTATTCGGCCGCTATTCGATGAAACTCGCGCACGCACATATTAAACGATTTAAATTTCAGCTATTTTTTCCACGACTGCGTTCACTCGGTCCACACGCTTACATTTTTATATTCACTTTATTGTATTTCCCTTTCTTACATTTCTTTTTCATTCTGTGTATATTTTCATCTCCGCGTTGCGCGTTCACAACACCGCACAGACTCCGACTACGAACTGGCGAGTGCTTGTGGATGGCTCTACAATTTAGTACTGAGATTCAGTGAGGCCTCCTCTTCGGCTGGGGCACTCAATTGTGTGCGTGTGTAGAGTTGCGCAGGATGCTGGGCGCTCTCGTGTGCGCTTTCCAGCCCAAAACCGCCGCCTGCCGAACGCGCCAACTAACAGTTGAAAACTCTCCACACCCAACATACCGCTATCTATGTTGCGCACTGTTAAGCAGGTGGAGTACTTTATGTTAGTGAGCAATATGCTGCTGTTATGTGCAGCGCTCAGCTGATATTATAACCTATCGATATGCGCAATAACGTTGCTCTCAATCTTATCGATAGTATCGTTGGCACATTTCGTACGACTCTGGCCACACAGACGTACAGCGAACGTGAGCCGAACGGCAACCATCTTTGTGAAAAATACCTACGAGTCTGGAGAGCAGTCGGTGTAGGAATTAAATAATTTCTGCGGCTTATAAAAAGTTAAAAATATAAAAAAATTAACGATGATTTCTGCTCGTTTGGCATCGTCGGTCGCACGCAACTTGCCCAAAGCGGCCGCACAGGTATAAAAAAATCATTAAACGAGTAAAAGAAGCAAGAAAAAAAGTTGCAAAAATGCAAATATATAAAACATACATAACCGAAACCAATTGGCCATTGATTCTAACTCCAAACTCTAATGTTCAATTAAAGTCCTCTGAATAACTCAAGCTTTGCTTTTCCATTTGCCAATTACATTTGACTCAGTTTTGGCCAAAGTTTTAGTTTTGTGTTACGCAATGCCGCACGCAAAAAAAAAAATTACATAACACATTAAGTGTTCTGTGCGCCAATATGATGCCAATTTTAAGTTCTTCAAATCGAAATTGAAGTGAAATATTTGCTGTAATGATCTGTGTTTTCATTAAAAACGGTTACATAATTTTTGTCAACGGGGCTCAGCTGCAGTCGCTGCCGCTTCTGCTGCGTGTTGGCCAAGCAGAGTTTGAGGTTATGTGGGTGTGCTTTCAAGCAAATCAGCAAATTGGCAAAGAAGAATATAAATCTATAAAGTAAAACTAAAAAACGACTGAATTTAATAATATCTTCCAAGTGTAATTAAATTGATGTAAATTTGTTAGGTCTACCGGTGGCCTGCTTATGGCTGCTTTGCTGTGTGTTAGAGCGAGATAGCGGCTGTTCTGCTCATGTGGTTATTCAATGCTGCCCCCCACCTCCGCCTCTCTTTTTGTAGTGCTTTTGCTCCTTATATAAGATAAGCTAATGCTTGGCATCTATTCCACAGGTTGCCTGCAAGGCTGCATATCCAGCTGGAACTCTTGCTGCCCGCAAATTCCATGTGGCCAGCACACAGCGCAGCGCTGAGATCTCCAACATTTTGGAGGAGAGAATCCTGGGCGTTGCACCCAAGGCCGATCTGGAAGAGACTGGCCGTGTGCTGAGCATTGGTGATGGTATCGCTCGTGTGTATGGTCTGAACAACATCCAGGCCGATGAGATGGTGGAATTCTCCTCGGGCTTGAAGGGCATGGCCCTCAATTTGGAGCCCGACAATGTCGGTGTTGTCGTCTTCGGTAACGACAAGCTGATCAAGCAGGGCGATATTGTCAAGCGTACTGGTGCTATTGTCGATGTCCCCGTCGGTGATGAGCTGCTCGGCCGTGTTGTCGATGCTCTGGGTAATGCCATTGACGGCAAGGGCGCCATCAACACCAAGGATCGTTTCCGTGTCGGCATCAAGGCCCCCGGCATCATTCCTCGTGTGTCTGTGCGCGAGCCAATGCAGACTGGCATTAAGGCCGTCGACTCCCTGGTGCCCATCGGTCGTGGTCAGCGTGAGTTGATCATCGGCGACAGACAGACTGGGTAAGTGAGCCCCTTTGTGGATCCCTCCTACTCCGATTTACTGGTCACTCATCAATTTATATTTCTACTTTACAGTAAGACTGCCCTGGCTATCGATACCATCATCAACCAGAAGCGTTTCAACGACGGCCAGGATGAGTCGAAGAAGCTGTACTGCATCTACGTTGCCATTGGCCAGAAGCGTTCCACTGTCGCCCAGATTGTGAAGCGTCTGACTGACTCCGGCGCCATGGGATACACCATCATTGTGTCTGCCACCGCCTCTGATGCCGCTCCTCTGCAGTATTTGGCTCCCTACTCTGGCTGCGCCATGGGTGAATTCTTCCGTGACAAGGGCAAGCACGCCCTGATCATCTATGATGATTTGTCCAAGCAGGCTGTTGCCTACCGTCAGATGTCCCTGTTGCTGCGTCGTCCCCCTGGTCGTGAGGCCTACCCCGGTGATGTGTTCTATCTGCATTCGCGTCTGTTGGAGCGTGCCGCCAAGATGTCGCCCGCTATGGGTGGCGGTTCCCTGACCGCTCTGCCCGTGATTGAGACCCAGGCCGGTGATGTGTCCGCCTACATTCCAACCAACGTCATTTCGATCACTGACGGTCAGATCTTCTTGGAAACCGAGTTGTTCTACAAGGGTATCCGTCCCGCTATCAATGTGGGTCTGTCTGTGTCCCGTGTCGGTTCCGCTGCCCAGACCAAGGCCATGAAACAGGTTGCCGGCTCCATGAAGCTGGAGTTGGCCCAGTACCGTGAGGTCGCTGCCTTCGCCCAGTTCGGTTCGGATTTGGATGCTGCCACCCAGCAGCTGCTGAACCGTGGTGTGCGCCTAACTGAGCTGCTCAAGCAGGGCCAGTATGTGCCCATGTCCATTGAGGATCAGGTATGAATATCATGTTATACTTCTGATCACTGATTGCACTATATTATACATTACTCTCCCCACCCACACCTAGGTTGCTGTCATCTACTGCGGTGTGCGCGGTCACTTGGACAAGATGGATCCCTCAAAGATCACCAAGTTCGAGAAGGAGTTCTTGCAGCACATCAAGACCTCCGAGCAGGGTCTGCTCGACGGCATTGCCAAGGAGGGACAAATCTCTGAGGCTGCCGATGCCAAGCTGAAGGACATTGTCCAGAAGTTCATGTCCACCTTCCAGGGTTAAGCAACAACAACAACAACAATGGAAGCAGAAACGTGCAGTCATATCCTAGATATGGAGCAGAAACCACCAACAAATCCTTTCAATCTAATAAATAAATTACTGTCTAAGCCGCTAGCCGCGTTAATAACTGATTTAAAACTGCCCAACTGCGCGTCGATGATAAGCAACAACAACAGCAAGAACAACAATATCGTCGAAAAGATAAAACCAACACTCTATACACCATAAGAAAATACAAACAACATAAAAATTATAAAACTTAATGAAAAAAAACCTTTGCGCATTCATGTTTTCCTTTGCTGCACTTCTCGTGTCTCGTCCTTTGCCACATACTTGGGAGAGAGAGCGGGACGGACGCGAGAGGCGTCGCAGCGAACGGATGCCACTTCGAATTTCAGCATTAGCCACACTTCCCCCCACTAAAATGATAATACTGTTTAAAAATCTATAATCAATATTTGACATATTGTAATCGAGAATAGTCGAAAAAGTAAAGTTTGTGGATGATTGTGAAACGATGAAAATAAAAACGATACTATAATTAACTTAACCATACGATGGCACTATTATATATGTATACATATACACCTGCTATTTGCTTAGTTGGGAAAGAATATTATTTTATTGAAGTAGTTCGGAAAAGTTCCAATTATATAGTTGAGCTTATTTCTGGAAATATGGACTTGAGCGATAGAAATAGATATCACATATTTGTCTTATATGATTTGTTTTAAAATTTAAATTGATCTATAAATGATTGACCTACTGACTGCTCAGCCAATTTAAACTATATATGGGCTTAAATATATTAATGAATTAATACTCTTCAATTATATGGAAAATTCTCTTTGCTGTCTATGAAAGGATTCTCCGCAATTGGCCTTTTATATATTTTGAGTTATAACTCGTTCTCTTGAGGGCAATAAAAAGCCTCGAAACTTAATACAACATTTTTGGGTAGTATTTCCCACTTCTGTATATTGATAGTGCATTACCGGAAACTGTCTTCTGGGTATAACTACCTCTCTAAATATAGATTTATTAAAGGTCTAAATCTTATAAGTTGCTAAAATATGCATAGTTTAATAAAGATTCCTCGTAGTCCAGCCTTATAATCCCCCCAAACGCAAATCAACTTAGCTCACCTTAAGTGAGCCCAGCTGTAATTTCTTGCTAGACATTCCCATAGCACCTTTTCGGATGTCCTAGGTAAACAATGACCAAAAGATGTTGCTAATTGAAATGCTGTCAGAGGCAGACACCAGACAGACAGCCAGACAGGACGAGGACCTTTTAGCTAAGCTGTGCACAGTCTCAGCTGATCCGCTGGGCAGCAGCAGCTGTTGCTGCAGTTCTCTTTCTCTGTTTTGTGTCTCTTTCGTCTCACAACCTTTCGCAGTGACCTTGCAGCCGCGCAGCAGGATCTGCTCTGCGGCAACTACCTGGACAAGGATAACAAATAAAGTGAGTCTGGTCACAGTTCACTACACGCCGTTTCACGCTCTGCATATTTGGGTAACAGCCAAGCATAAAAGGGCGCAAGGCTCAGTCGACTGCAGATGCCCATACCCAGGACTGTCGACTCCTGCCGAGGGGCTCAGAAGGAGTACCGCAAAAAATGACTGCGATTTGTCAAAGAGCGAGCAAGCGAGAGAGAGAGTGAGAGCGAGAGACAACGTCTAAGCGGCACTCCAATGTTGTTGCCGTTGCTTCTCCGCTTTCTTTCTTTTTTATTGCATTTGTTTGCTCGTAAAAGTGTCGAAATTAATGAGCGCTATAAAACCGTCAAACTTGAATTTCGAACAGGCGAACAGAAGCCCCAGCAGCGAGTGCGGCGCAGTCGCCGCCATTCGCACTCACAGTTCAGCTCTCGGTCATACGCATACACACACACACACAGAGACACCCGCTCACACACTCACACACGCGCACGCAACACATTAACATACACGTGCGCGTGCAGACAATACCGACGTCGCTGCCGGCGTTGAGCCAATGCGCTGCCCAGGCAATTGCCATAAACCAACGCAAGAACAACGGAGAGACCGAAAGAGAGAGCGAGCGAAAGCAATCACGCACACACCCATACACTCACGCGCTCACACATGTTCCAGCCAGCAAATGAAGTTGAAGAAGAAATATAAGGGCGGGAAATTACTGACCTGCGATCTCAAAGAAGAGACTGCAAAACCGAAATAACAAGACGCAAGCGAGCCTTTGTATGAGTTTTGTTGATTTTTTGCTGTATGTTTGGCAGTTGATAAGGGCCGCACAGGAGTCGCGGCGTATCACATTTTTGTATTCTTTGCCTCTTTGTTACGCTTTAATTTTCAACTTTCTCACAGACTCTGCAGATGAATAAAAATTACTGGAAAGGGGAAAAATAGTTAAAAGGAAAAAACATGGCGGTGCTCATTTTTCGTGTGAAATATTTGCAAAATTGCGTTTTAATCGAATTTTTAATGGATTTTTGTTTGTTAAATATTTATATTAAAAAATTTATTTAATACATAGAGCACAATTTCCAAATCCAAATTGCTTAAGCTAAATACAATATAATCTGCATATAAAATGGCGTATTTGTTGCCGGGTTCTATTTTGTTTTTCTTTTTTTTTTTTTTTGTGATTTTGTTTTTTGAGAAAGTAACTTAAAATACTTTGAGAGGCAACGCCGATATCTTTAGCCAGCAAATGCGCCCGTTGCTCACCGGTTTATCTCTTCTCCTTCTTTTTTTTTTCTTGCTTGTCTTCTCTGAGGGCTCATTGTTAAAAACAAGTTACATACAAACATACACATATATATATAACATATATATAGCAGCAGTAGGGGTGAGGGGGGAGTAGGAAAACGTCGACCAGAAGAACAAAACTCAAGCAAACTTTTAGCCAAACGATGCAAATGTTGCCGAGTCTGACGCTGGATCCGGTTATACTATATGTATAGATATATAGATGTTAGGGAAGGGTTAGGGGTAAACTGAAGGGGGGGTTAACTACAATTAAATATACTCAATTATGCACAATTATTAATCAATTACACGCTCACACTCACATTCACATACAAATATAAAGAACGAGTAAGAGAAATTACACAAATTTAAAATAGAAAACAAAAAATTGAACTAAACATGAATTGCAGTCAATATTAACGCCAACTGCTGGGCAGGGGGTGTGTGTGGGGTGAGCTATTATTTCTCTCTCACTCTCCCTCTGTGAGTGGGTGTGTGTGTGTATTTCTGGCTAATTTCAACTATTTCTTGCCCACAATCGAGTCCAACAACGCGCTGCTCAGCTCCGGACGCAGGGCGATCTTCTGGAACTTGTTCGCCTGGTACTTGGTGTAGATGGCCCTCAACTTGGCCGTGGGTGCATCCCGAGCCAATTTCGCAATCTGTCGTGCAATCGGACGCAAATAGGCAGCCGTATAACGGGAATAGTGCACCAATGTGGGCGTCCAGTGTCTGTCGCTAAAGCCGGTGGCCGCACGCGAATTGCCATTGAGCAAGTGCAGCGAGAGGAAGAGCGAAGCTGCAGCAATCTGTAAAGGAAGTATTTGATATTCATATAGATTTAGTATATACAGATGCTTCAGCCAACACCCACCTCAGAGGGCTTATAGCTGGCCAGCTCGTAATCCATGCTAGCTAACTCCAAAAGGTATTTGGACATGGCATGATGTTCATCCTCGGCGCTGGCCGCTTTCGAGAAGCGCCGCAAGAAGTGTATGGGCAACGGACGCGACAGATTGTTATCGATGGCCTTCAGTATTTGCATCTCCATTTGCCTGATCTCCTGACCCGTATACGAATCGTCCGTAATGAACACAAAGTCCCCGATTGCTGGGGGGAAGAGCTCCTCGTATTTGGTGGCTATAAACAGGGCCGTAACGCCCACCAGCTGCAAATATTTGCGCCTGGTATCCTTGACCACCTGCAGATAGCGATCGATGATGGCCACGGCCAAGTGGAAAGTTTCCGCCGCCAGATGGAACTGCAAATGCACCTCGTTTATCCAGTCGATGAGCACAGCGCGCATTTTATAAGAAACTTCCAGTTGATTGGCCAAATGATCCGGGTAGATGGGCTGCTCCTCCTCCAGCTTGTAGAGATAATCATAGATATCGTTGACATATTCCGAGACCAAAACCAAATTCTCGCCATCATCGGCATCAATGTCCTCCACCTCCAAGCGTTTGGTGGACAAAGACATCGATGACGTCTGGCTTGGGACAGCGGCTGGAACGGCTCGCAGCTTGGATGGCAGTTTCGATAGGATTGCAATCTCCTTCTTGGGCTGTGGAGCGACAGCAGCAGCAGCCGCTTCCTTCTTCAGGACCAGCGCATTGGCCGCAGTGCGTGGCTGAGCACGGGGCACCAGTGGCTCCTTCTTAACTGCTGCTGCTGCTACTGTTGGAGCTGCTGCTGCCGTTGGATTGGCCAATGCAGCCCGCAGCTTGGTCAGGGACTTTCGTGACAAATTGCTATCCTCGCGCCGCAGCGTGTTCACCTTCTCGTCGGAAATGGACTTTTGTTTGGCAACTGCAGGAAGACGAGCTCGAATTGGGGCCATAATTTTCTTTACAACCGGATACTTACGCTTGTTGCTCGGGTCGGCGGCCACTTTTGCAGTGGCTGTTGTCGTTACTGCCGTACGGCCAGAGATTTGGCGTCCAATCTGACCCAAATTCGTGCGCATCGAGTTGGAGCGCAGGAGTGGGCCGGCTGCTGTCTTAGTGACAGCAGCTGCTTGGGCGTTGCCATTGGCATTAGTATTAGCATTGGCATTGCTCAGGCCCAACGGCTGCTTCTTCCAGTGGGTATCCACACGCGCCTTGGTCAATTTTACATCTTTCAATCTGTAAACAGTTTTATTATATATT